TGTCAGGAGCCCCTCAAATATGCAGATTTCTGTTGCCAATTGTGTGATCAGTACTAGAGTCCACCTTTGTTGTATCACACAATTGGCAATGGAACTCCACATATACAAGGGGCTCCTTGCAAGTTTTGTGGTCCTCAGAAAGAGGTACACAGGTATACTCAAGCAAAATGTCACAGGGATCAACAGGTACCCTTCTCACAAGTTGCCATGATATCACAACAGTGTGGGCATCCATGGAATCCAGGGGCCATTGCAATACCAATCATAGTGATCAAGATTGCAAAAGGAGCATATTTCTTGAAAGACATCCCTGAAATTTCATTAATGGATCAATATTGATCTTGTGCTTTAAGTCCTCCCATAAAAGAAGCTGTTCTAATGTTCATGATTAGATGCCTCAAGTGTTGAAGTTGTGCATATTCATATTTGGGAGGATATGGGTTCTGTATCATTTCATTTGTTTGCATTGATTTTCTATGTATTTTGGCTCTAGTGACAACTTCTTAGCATAAAAGGTGTCCAATTCATATGGTGGTTTTGTATGAAGAGGGATAGTAAGTACCAAAGGATCTATCTCATCAGACCCACAGGGGAAAATGTGGGCCAATTCAGACTCAGGTGCGGCTGGATCAAGATTCAAGACACTTGCACATTTCCTGACCTTTGTCATTTTTTTGGTTCTTCCAAATGTATTTGTCTTACAATCTTGGTATACCTCAGAGGTTGTGGCACTGTCTGCCTGGAATGCACATCCTTGGCTTGAATGTGCTGAAGTATGCACATTTATAGATCAAAGGAGTCTTTCTTGTCCATGCATCAAAAGCCACATTGTGAAAAGAAGAACTTATCATGTCTTCTTCTGCCTAGTTTTGTGTTTTTTAACTTTGATCCATCCTATCCGTGATGGATGTTCAAAATACAAATACCGGACATACACCCCCACAACACCTTTGCTACCATCCATCTTTTGCCACAGGAGCAATCAGCCATATATCAGAATCAAACAGAGGTCTACAAACAGTTTTGTTTGCTCTACTCTAGGAAATAATGAATATGAGACAGGGAATTTATGCAAGAGGAAAAGTCCAACCCAATAAGATCCGAAACGTGGGCATGATGGACACTTTCAACTCTAGAGGTCGAAGCTTCAAAAGCAAAATTAAGCCCGCACTATCAATTTACAAAGAGTAAATCAAATGGATGGGATATGGGTCCCTCCTGTACTGCATCCGGATCACATGCGGACTTTCAAAAAAGAAGTTTTGTCCAACATGCTGATACCAGCATTGTGGGAAAAGAAGTAAATGAGAAATCTGGAGCGAAGGAAAGATGGGAGCGAGGGTGTCTTTACTTTGGAGGAGCATGATTTGTGATGCAAGAAATCACGATTCTATATACCGACGTACCCTGACTTGCCACACTCGCGCTCGCCGAGATGGACTTAGTCAGGTTGGACACTTGACTCACTATTGAAAGTGACCAAGAGTTCAAGTACGGGCAAAATCCTCAACCGAAGGAAAAAACATTTCAATGATGAACAGTTCAGTAGATTTATTTCGAGATGATAATACTGGTGTAGAATAAATGAAAGCAGATAAAGAGAAAACTATGCCAATACAAACATTTGCGTCACTGAGACAGAAATTGAACCCCACAAAGCGTTTCCCCATAGCTATTGATTCACTTCGCACTGATGGAATCAGCAGCTTTGCCCACCTCCTGAGCTCCAGCTTTAGCATAACCGCCACTTTTGAGTTTCAAATCCTCCAACTCTTTTGTAGTTTTATCCATCATGTTCTGTGCTGTGGACTGTAGATCACTGGTCTTTTGCACAGCGGCGTCTTGCGCGTTCTTTGCAGCGTCACCGACTTGTTCTGTCAACGGCTTGGATGAAGTTTGCTCATCCACTTTTTGTTCAGCTGATGCCACAAGACTGAAAACTTGGGTCAGCCTCATATATGTGCAAGTATCAGGAGAAATTTCGACTTACTTTTGGGCTTGACCAATGGCACTCGCCGCCAAGTTTCGTGCCTTGTCTACATATGACTCTTGACCGGCGGCACTGTCAGTCTTGCTTTCAGCTTCTGATTTCAAGTCCTTTGCTTTGTCTTTAGCATCTTCTGCTGCTCCTTCAGCTTTCGACTGTCCAGCAGCAACATAACTAAGAATTGGAAGAAAGCTTATGTCAAACGCAATGCTTTTTCAAATGATACAAGGACT